ATTTCGTCTATAAGGCAGTGACGTCACGCAACAGGATTGAACCTGTTCGGTGCGATGCGCGTAAACAACCGCGTATCTCCAATGTAATACTATATGGAGAAATAACTTTTCGCTCTTGCGGGCATCCGAGGCAGCGGATTTGAATGGGAATAATTTTAATCAACTCCTCATTACAATAGCTAAGCGTGTACCAATTTTAAAGGAAATCGCTTCGGCCAATTTTTATCTAGGGGGGGCATAGTGAGTGGGAACAGCAGCTTTATATAGAGTAATGGTATCCTCTGGCCTATCGGTAATGTTCAAAGGAAGATTTAACACAAAACAAAAATAATATTTACGGGGACAAAGCTGATGTAAGGGAAGAACTCCGCGAAACGTTCCGTTACAGCCTACGCCAACATTATCGATCATTGAAAATAAAAAAAGCAAAAGACGAAACTAAATATACTTAGAGGAAATAAAATATCAACGAGACCAAACAGGAGGCAAGGAGGTTAACCAAAATACTTTCTCTTCATTATCAACTGAAGATGAGAAGAAAATTAGAGTTTTTGAGTTATTCCATTTCTTCAGGTTTTAGCGATCGACAGTCCTTGCGTAGGCCGATAAAACGTGTTCAGTTTTCTTCAATTTAATAGCTTTGTTGTCGTTTTCATTACTTGTGTTTAGTTAGGATTCTCAGCATTTTGGCAGCTATTCACCTTTTTATTCTTTTAGGTTTTGTTGAAAAGGGATCACACAGCCTTTGATAATTGCATTGGCGAAACTTTGTCGCACGAGGCTCCATTTTTTTACGCACGAAGGTCGAGATATTAGGATTAAGCTTCAACCATACGCTCGTACTCCTAAAATTCAGGAGGAGTCAAAGAATGAATTATCATAATTTTAAAAATTACGAATAAAACGAAGTCCATCAACCTCGTTTTCTTCTTTTTTTTATCAGTAAGGGTTTTGCATGTTTCCATCATGAATGTATAAAAAATGTCTAGCGTGCTTGAATTTTTTTAACAAAATTCGTCACTCCCTAACGGGATATATATTGAGAATGATTTTTATGCGGGGAAGAAGAATTTAATTAATTATTAAGAAGTTAAACGATAAAAAAAACCTTTGATGCTCTAATAACACAGGAATTGATCGTACTGATATTCATCATAAAACACTGCGATGACACAGCATAGACAGTTGAGTTTTTAGACAGTAGAAACAAGGAACACGAAAGAACGTGCAGGCGCACATGGCGCGGATCCAAGATTCGCCTTCAATTAGGCGGTCATACTAATTGACTGTCGTGACGTTCGAATAGTGGTATCACGGAATCGTATTTGAAACTTGATGCTGCGCTGAAGGCGCTTCGATTCCTCATTTGCAGACTGCAGAGCCGCGCGTATTGACCCATACTGCCGTGCTAAGGAAGAACGCCGTATGAAGCTTCAGGCGATGCAAAATTTCCTTTGGTACATCACGAATTCTCGGGAAAATTTGTCAATATTTTTCATAAAATTTTGTTCGCAATTTTACCCTAAAGTTTCTGAGGATTTCAAGGAAAATTATTCAAGAATCTCCTTCAAAATACACATTTAATCGTAAGAAATTTGCCAACTCTCGAATGTTCATGCGGCGTTTTTCCTTAGCCCTGCAGCATACGACTGACACAGACTCCCCCAACATTAAGCATTTATTTTCCGAACTTATTTCTTGAGTTTATGTTGTAATACATCAGGATCCGGCGATTTCGTGAGCGTCTAGCATGGTTACTATTCGCCTTGTTTCAAAATTATGTTGTTTGTCATATTCTACGGGAAGCAAAGAAAGATCCCGCACTTTTCAGAAAATGATGAAAAATATAACAAATTTATGTTTACTTAGAAAAATTAATCAATGTTCTGCTGAACTTCGTATCTTATTCACTTTGATAAAATGATAATAAATGCGTAAAGAAATAAAAAAAAGAAAATGAAAATGAAAAACGAAGAGAAAAATCAGGGGAGAGCATTTTGTTTGAATACGTCCACTTGCGTACACGTACTACTTACACAATTTTGTCACCGTCGCACAGTGGATCGAGCCACTCAGAGAGGTCGGACATGAAATATTCGACTAAAACTGCAAATTTTGATGTTCATTTCGTTACATATTAAACTTTAAGGGGTGCTTGTCGCATAGAATTTCACGAGGAAACCAATGAAACCACTTTCAAAACCTCCAAGTTTTGTATAAACGGAGTTATAAGCGTTCGAAGTTTTCAATTTTCGTCCGACCTTTCCTATTGACTCGATCCCCTGAGCGTCGGGCCAAAATATCACATGCACCAGATATCCTTCAACGCCACTTTGCCAGACATCTCAATATTTTTTTTAAAATGTTTTCTTCAGAACTTTTGCACATACTCTCAGGAAAATTTCACGGAGCATTCTTAATGACGAAGGAAATATTAGGTGAAATTGTCAAGTGATTCTATTCATTAGTTTTTCCGTAAAAATTGGACACGTTTGAGAAGCCGCAACAAAGCGCCTAAGCACAAATGGCGCTTGTGAATCTTAGGCTGGAGGTGATTCGATGGACGCCATATTTTGTGTCAGAACGGCATGCGATATATCGCATCAATTGGTTCCATTTTTTCAGCTACTCGTCATTTTTCTCCAAATTTAAGATCGCAATTCTGTTGTCAGGAGACTACAGCACTCACCAGTTTCAACAAATAAATTCAACGTAATAAAGGCGTGGCTTCTTCAGAGAGAAAACATTGCATTCGATACTGATATCGAAACTGCACTCGAATGCGATATTTTGTCTCTAAAAAAATCACGCCCTATTACGTTGAATTTCTTTGTTAAAATTGGTGAGTGCTGTAGTCTCCTGACAACAGAATTGCGATCTCAAAATTGGAGAAAACTGACGAGTAGCTAAAAAAATGGAATCAATTGATGCGATATATCGCATGCCGTTGTGACACAAAATATGGCGTCCATCGAATCACCTTAAGCGGCACCGATGACATGACGCCGCAGCGGATGTTTAAAGTTTCCACTTTTCGCATGGTCTGTTTTCAAAAGAGGATGGTCGGTAAAAAATTGCGTACAGGTAGGTTTCTTCAGTTTGACACTCGTTTATATGAAATACAAATCAGTGTGGAGTAGGCTCATGATCAAAATAAACGGATCTGAATACAATATACAACAGGTGGACCACTACTGCCGTGCAGCCGGAAAAACGCCGTAAAAGCATACTCGTTTATATTAAATACAATACAATGTGGAGTAGGCTCATGATCAAAATAAACGGATCTGAATACAGTATACAACAGGTGGACCACTACTGCCGTGCAGCCGGAAAAACGCCGTATAAGCATACTCGTTTATATTAAATACAATACAATGTGGAGTAGGCTCATGATCAAAATAAACGGACCTGAATACAATATACAGCAGGTGGACCACTACTGCCGTGCAGTTGGAAAAACGCCGGAAAAGCGTAGGTATGTTACCAGATTTCTCCTTGTGAAATATACATTTTAAGAAAATTCATGAATATATTTTCTTGATATTTTCATATACAGGTATCTAGCGATTTACCAAACAAAAATTCCCAGACATTTCCCTAAATTCCCTGACGAACAAGGTAAAAAAACCGGGGAAAAATTTAAAACTCCCTTACGGGCGGGAAAAATAATTCCCTGACAAAAAGGGGAAATATTCCTAATTTTTCAACACGGTTGAACTGGTTAGAAGTACGTTAGAATTTCTTCATGTTTTAAGAATATAATGGAATAGATAGAGCAAAATATATGGTGCTTAAACTTACGCGAGATATTTTAGCCTAATTTTTAAAATTATCAAGGCATCAAGAGAAATTTTGGTAGAAATCTTTGCGAGAGTAAAGTTTGCGAAACATTTTCAGAAAAATTCGTGTTTTCCGATCTCCCTGACGCTTCCCTGACAAGGAAATAGCTTACAAAATAAAATTCCTGACATGCCGAATTCTTGCGGATTCTTTGACGTTTTCCCTGACTCCCCCGACACAAAAAATATTCCGTTTCCAAACGTTTCCCGGTTTTTTCGGTCGCTTGACACCTTGGATACAGTAGTAAACTCGAGGCTTGGGTTGAAAATTTCATAATCGAGCATCGCTGTTTCCAGGCGTATCTTGGCGTCCTTAATACCTCCCCAAAAGATTCAAAAATTTGATGAAATTTCGTGAAATTTCACGCGAATCAACTCATGAAATTTTCCATCGCTCAGGGTTCCACAGAATTTAGAAAATGAAATTCCCTTGTTTCCCCGACACATTTCGGTGAAATTCCCTTACAATTGAAAATATGCCGGAAGGGTAAAAAGACATAGTTAGAAATACTCTTCAGGCAAAATTCGTCGTTCGAAATGTCGAACCCATTCTAAAAAGCAAATAAAGGTGACTCGATAATTTTTCCCTGACACTTTCGTAATTTTCCCTCACATTTCCCTCAGTTGCGTGGCTTGAATTGCGATGTATCGATTGTTATGCCATTTAAACCTATGGTAAAGAATCGACTATTAGGGTGTTCGCTGCGAACACTCTGTCTATCGATCCTTTTCCGTAGGTTTAAACGGCATAACAATCGATACATCGCAATTCACGCCACGCCACTGATTTCCCTACCTTTTAGAATTCCCTGACATTTCCCGGTATTCCCTGATTGTGGCAACTAACCCTGATCTCTGCTCGCGTTTACCCGCATTCTTGAGCCTGCACACCCACCTCTTTCAAGGACACCACGTTCGTCAGAACATACAGATTCCGATTGTCCAGATACCCCACGATCTTCTCCCTCACTTCGAGCGGGAGCTCGGGAAGGTGCGCGCACAGAGCCTCGAGCATCCTAACCCCGCGCTCCGCCAGGGTCTTCCGGAAGACGGCCTTGCGGAACCGCTTCGCGATCATACCGACGTAGGCCGGGAACCCCTCCCCGAAACCCCCGCCTTCCAGAACCCTCACGACGCCGTCGTTCCGCAGAAGACGCGCGACCTCCGACAGCGACGAGTCCAGAACGTCGTAGAACGTCACGTCGGAGTCTCCGATCTTCGTGGCCTTCATGGACCGCACTTCCAGCCGCAAGCCCTCGCCGGCGGCGGCTTCTTCAGGTACCCCAACCGGCAACTCGCACTTTTCCCGTTGGTTCACCGTCAGTTCCGCAGCCATCAACGCCCGAACGTGCTTCCACACCACATCGGTCGAGCCCGCGAGTCTTCCCCGTTTGGAGCACGAAGATGGACACCTCGCTAAGACTTTACACACGAGGTCGAGACGTAAGTACCCGTATTCAAGAATGTCCTTCCCCACAGTCGGTAGGTTTTCCCCACCGACAACTCTCCCGACCGTTTCGACCTTCTCGAGAACGTCCGTAGTTTCGAGCATCGAGTCGTCCAACTCCAGGAAGAACCGAACCATCGCCCGGCGGCCCGCGAAGACCGCGACCTCGACGGCCTCCATCACACCACCTTTCAACTGGACCCCGTTCTTCAGATAGAACTCGACAGCGCTCAGGGACCCAAGCTCTATGGCCGTGCGGAGATCGTCCCGCACGGCTTCGCTCCCGAAATCCAACCGGGCTCCGTGACGCATCAGCTCCTCCACGACCTCCACCCGGCACAACCTGGAGGCCTCCGCGATGGGTGCGCGTCCCGTACAATCGCGAGCATTCACGTCGGCACCGGCCTCGACGAGCGCTCTGACGATCTCCACAGTGTTCCTCGGCGCCGCGTACGTCACGGCCGCCTCGTGCAGGAGACCCTCCAGATCCGGTCCGCGGGCCAGAAGACACTTGGCGGCCTCGACGTTTCCCACGAAAATAGCGAGCGCGAGGGGTGTCTTCCCGGTGGAGCTGCGGGCGTTCAGGTCTGCGCCGTGGTCCAGCAGGAGTCGAACCGAGTCCGCGCCGGCGTGTTTGGCCGCCACGTGGAGCGCCGTCAAGCCGGCCACCCGCTCCCTCACGCTGGCTCCCCACTCCAAGAGCCTCTCGACGATGCCGTGGCGAGCGAGCTGGATGACGCTGAAGAAGAGCTGCGTGTCCGAAGCGTCCTCCGGCGCCAGGTCGAAACCGTTCTCGAAAAAGAGGTCGAGTTTCTTTTCGTCTCCCCCCTTCAGAGGGCCTTTCAAGAAAGCGCGCAGCGCATCCTTATTGCGAGGAATGCTCAAATCGGGCCGGAAGCTCAAAACACAAGCTAAGAACTCCGAACCTCTCCGGGCAGCCATTTGTATTGCGCCCGGTTCGAAATCCACATTGACGTCCGCGCCGTGATCCAGGAGCAATTTCAACTCGTCGACACTGCGCGAATCGCCCCTGAGGACGAATTGTAACGGGCTGTCTCCGTTGCTGGCGGCATTGGGGTTTGCTCCGTGCTCTAGCAGGAGTCGAAAGATCGAGGAGGATTCGCGAGATCTCATCGCTGTGTGAAGAACCGTGTCACATTTATCCGACTTCCTTATGTCCGTCTTGGCGCCGTGCTTCAAAAGCAACTGGACCAGCGGGACGCACCGCTTGAAAACGGCTAGATGCAGAAACGTCTCGCCCTCTCGGTTCCAGTACGGGATGTTCGGGTTGACCTCGACTACTCTGGAGATGAATCTCATGCAGGCCTCATCGCGGAAGACGCTTTGCGTCTGCTCGGCGACTGGGGACCAATCCGCGTCTTCCGTGCGGTATTCCCAAGTGTAATCGGACTGGCGGCTCGGGAAAATTTCCTGGAGGAGTTTACACCGGGAAACGGCTTGTGAAACGATGTGTAGTTCGGTTGATTGGAGATGTTGCAAGTCGATGTGGAAGTTCTTGATTGCGACCAGATCGTTCTTGGCGGCTGCAGCGAGTTCTTGCGGGCATTCTTCGTTGCTGGCCAGTAATTGGAACTGACTTCGATCCGTTAACAAGAGCAGAGGTTCCAGAAATTCGCGACCAAGGTTTGGGGTTAGAATGTAGCCCGATAGTCCTTTCGAGTTCGGATTCGTTTTAGTCCGGTCGGGGGCCTCCGCGATATGGACCACGAACACGAGGCACTCGGCAAGGCGGAAACTAGGCATTTCGGGGCGAAGCTGCTGAAACAGAAATATTTTGGATTGGGAGTATGTTTCTCATTTCTTCCGGGGTCATCATGTTAAGATGCGCAATACTTACAATGAGCCAGTAGAACAGTGCTGCCATTAAATCTTACCAAAGATTCCGGGGTTCTAGGAATTAATTCCAATTTCCAAAAGTACCGAGAAAAATTCCTGTCTTTTAAAAAGCTCCGGAAAAAATTCTGATATACGCCCGAATTTAGTTCCAAAGATGGTCGGCCTCCTATGGTGTAGTGGTTGTAGCGCTAGCTCTACGACTGGGAGGTCCAGGGTTCGATTCCCGGCCAGGCTACTCGAGTTTGATGGGCTCAAACAATGATTGCCAGGGACTGGATGTAGGGACGGAGGGGGGGGGGGGACTAAAAGCGCAAGGATTAGCCCTTGTGGGCTATTTGAAGTAATAGTGTAAAAAAAAAAAAAAAAAAAAAAAAAAAAAAAAAAAAAAAANAAAAAAAAAAAAAAAAAAAAGATGACGGTCAAATTCGATTAAACAAATTATCAAATTTGTTCAAATAATCGGTCAAACTGACGAAAAACCCGGAAATTCCGGGAATTTTGAAGAATCCGAAAAACTGCAAAAGTTCTAAAATTTGGAATTAATTCCGGGAAATGGCAGAAGTGCAGTGGGCAAGGTAAGAATTAAAGCGTTATTGACGCAAAGAGCAAGTGCGGGTAGACTCACCAGTGCGCTAGCACAAGGTAGTGATCATATAATCCTAGGCAAGGTGACGTCATTACACTGCATTACGCAGTACATTCTCAATAGTGAGGGAAAATACTCGTATGAGTATAATTTTAAAGTTATGCTGTTTGACGCAACACTAGTTACGTCCGATCAGGAAGCAACTGTAAACGTGTTTCGGCTCTAATTGGAGCCATCATCAGTATAGCGCAGCTTTCTTGCTTTCTGCTTCTACTCACGGAGGGATCTATACAACTAAATCGTAAAATACGGTCTTCAGGACGAAAATTGCCCAAATCAACTCCTAACCAAAATATTTTACATTTTCCGATGCGTCGATTCAAACCTCCCGCTCGTGAAAAAGCAAAAGTTTACGTGATTCAAATCGCGCACTAAACGTTACCGTAACCGTCTCAGCAGTATGAAAATATAGCAGCCTCAATCTCGGTGCTTCGGCTCCGTTGTTGCAAGTTGTTAACATTTTGAACACGAGGCCAAAAAGGAACATTGCTTGCGTAAGACGCCTAAAATCTTTGTAGTGCGCGTTTGATTCAAGTAGACCACTGTTCTTCTTGTGAGCGGGGAATTTAAAATTGCCGTAACCACGTTAAACTAATAACGTTAAAATCTCAACTAGAAGTCGATTTCAGTCATTTTCGTTGCGCGAATCATGTTCTACGTGAAATTTTGAAGGGGAAACAATTCGCACCTTGTCTAGACAGAGTCCATTAGTACACGGAAAACAAAAAAAAATTGCTGATTCAACAATTCAATTGTGAGTGTAATGTTTCAACGCTGATTTTACAACAAAAAATGCTACTTTAACCACATTGTAAACTAATTTAACCACGGGGGTGGTTAAAGTAGCATTTTTTGTTGTAAAATCTGCGTTGAAACATTGCACTCACTGTTTTTAGCAATTGAATTGTTGAATCAGCAATTTTTTTTTCCGTGTAGGGTCAACAATTGAAGGCTCCGAACGCAGAAAATAAACGTGATTTATACGATGGTCATTTCAAGCATTTCAATGCTCATCTTCAGATAAAAAGTTTCTAACAATATTATTCGTGCTCGAAGTATGAAAAAACCTTACTTGACGTTAATTTCATATCTTTACATTTGACGTAGGAATATTTTCGTGGAAACCTTCACGTCTTATAAGGACCGTAAATCAAAGCAGAAGGCTCGCGCGGTCGGGGTGGAAATTTTCGAGCGCCATCTTGGATTCCTTGCCGATGCGCTTCTAAATGCGAGATTAAAGTGCGCTTTAAACTCGTTTTTCGTGGGTTGGTTTCGTTCAAAAAAGAATGCGAGGAAATTTCTGCGAGTTGTGTGCACTCGCTACTTCTAAAAAACGGAAGAGTTAAAATCAATGAACGAGCTCTTCGTTGTTAAAATTAATGTCGAAATTGAGGACACTTCAGGTAAAATGGCGTGAGAGGCTTGCAGTATGATGCTGGTTGAGATTGTTGAATTTTCCGTACCATCTGCAGCGAATGAAACTCATTTACGGTCGACTTGCTGATTGGTATCACGTAATAGTGAGGAAAAAATCGGACCCGATCAGTGGCGTGGCGTGAATGGAGAATTTGCACGCAATTTTTTTATTGCTTCATCTGAAAGTGCCTAATGAGCTGAATTCGCAATATTTTTCATAATTTTTTTCTGACACGGGAAATTGGAGAAAAATTGATTTAAAAGTGAGAAAATGTGCCGCCTTGTGACGTCATCTGGCGGCATTTCCCATTTAAACACATGTATTTTAGCAGAATCGGTTATTTTGTCATATCTCCTCTAATAATTGCTCGATTTATGAATCAAGGGTATCTTCGTGTTCAGTTCACTCAGAGGATTCCACTTAAACAGGAAATTCATCAAATTTCAGACCCTTGCAAATTCTCCATTGCGATATATAGATTGTTATGCCATTTAAACCTATGGAAAAAGATCGATTATCCGGGTGTTCGCAGCGAACACCTTAGTAATCGATTCTTTACCATAGTTTCAAATGACGAGATATCGATAATCAATTATTCACGCCACGCCACTGGACCCGATTGAGGGAAATAGTCATGGTAGAGCCTTGGCTGGGTTACGTGTAATTAAATAACTACTTTGCACAATCTTAAAAGCATTGAAGGCTTCATAAACCTTTTAATCGAAAAAGTATCACGTTTTTAATCTTGTTCTACGTTCACCTTGACGAGAAAACATGTTTTGTAGTTGTCGCCTTGTGGTAGGTAGTCTATAAGAAGTTTACAACCTGAAAGTAATTAAAAATTCAGCGAAACGTACCTTCGGATCGAAAATATCACATCGAAAAAAAGGTGAAGTTCAAAAGTGAGTGATGAAGAGTAAAGTTGGAAACGAAGTAACACCCAAATTTTAAACGTACAGCCACCTTTCTTAAATATTCCTTAAGTGATGCTTAATACTAAATGTTAAAAAAAACGTGGGTGTTAGAGCCAGAATCGCAAAACGCACTTTAAGTTAGAGTTGAATGGAGAACCTCAAAATTCTCGAGGCGTTGTCCAAAGAGAGAAAAAAGTAACCCAATCTCACTGAGGTTTTCTCGGCGATATAAGGTTCTATTCAACCGCAAGTCGTTTCCTCGGTAACTTCCGAGGTCCTAAAACGGCAGATATACCTGCGAGTTACAAGCGCTTGTTGAAGGTGAAACACCAATAGGAAACCAGGATTTCGATCGCTAGACCTCGAGCTATCGACGACTTCAGACGATATCGTCCGAAAATAAGGCACGGATAAAACGATGTCTAAAGACTAGATGAACAGAACTGAGAGCGGGCTGATCGTTGAAATGAATAGACAACGCTAGACAAAGAAGACAAAATGGATGCGGAGGGGTCCTATTGGTGGAAGAGGGAGGTATAAGACTAACTAACGACACCCTACGAGAGACCCTATAATAAAGATGTTGCATGTGTGAGGAATTTGCGATCTGACTATTGATTCTCATGTAAAAGTTTGCGAGAAACACGATGGTGCCACTGGTTTCCTCTGAAATCATCTCCCAAGCTCAAAAAAGCTCTCAAGTTGCGAGGCCAAAATGGAGGGGATATCCCACCCTACCCTGAGAGTCCACCTCTACATCAAAACAAACTCTCCATGCAAAGATAGGGAGCAAATACATTAGCAGGGTTGCCGTGTTTTCAGTNTCCAAAACTGAAAACACGGCAACCCTGCTAATGAACTGGCTCTATGAAGGGCCGTTTGTAACTAAAGATACGAATGTTAGCAATACATAAGAAATGATGTAACATATGAAATATTCAAAATATATATGAAATTTTGAAGTATATATACGAAACTGTCGCAATTTATAAGAAATGTGTCAATATTTAGGAAATCGACTCCAAACTACCTATGGCAAAAATCGTGCAATATATAAGAAATGTGTCAATATATAAGAAATCGACTTCACAGTATATATGGCGAAATTCGTGCGATATACAGGGTGATCCATAAGTCATTTCCATCCCCTCTAAATTTTTACCTAATTGAGGCAAAGATTTGAAGCTTGGGGGATATTCTTAGGTCAAAGGGAGCTACTTTCTGGCCCCCTNCTCTCAGGGTAGGGTGGGATATCCCCTCCATTTTGGCATCACTTTGAGAGCTTTTTTTGAGCTTGGGAGATGATTTCAGAGAAAACAAGTGGCACCATCGTGTTTCTCGCGAACTTTTACAAAAGTATCAATAATCAAATCGCAAATCCCTCACATGCAACATCTCCATTAGTCCTTCATTTATCCCCTTAGTCTATAGGAAGCACCCATTTCAACCAGTATGATCACTCCTTACTCCCTATTACTTCTTGGTACATCGCTTTGTCTACTTTCAAAAATCAGCCTGTAAAAAGCCAAATTCATGAGTTGAAAAAAAAGGCTCTTATCAAAAGGCTCGATATAAACCATGAACAGGTCATGTTCGCTTCATTCCATCATGTTTTTTGAACTAGGCAATGCGATATTAGAGTGAATGATGGTCATTACATAACCGTACCTCCCCCGCGAGCGCATTGAAATTGATAGACAAAGTGTTGGACAAAAAAACATAGGGAAAATGGAAACCTATTGCTTGAAACGCATGGTTGCTTTAGACTGAAAGGAAAAGTGATGAACTAATGTGGTGGATGGTGTGTGCCGTGTGGGTTACCGTTTTTGTTCATTGCAACCATTAGCTTCCATCAATGAGATAACTTCATTTTCTTTTTTTCTTTGTCTATTAATTTCAATCATCAGCCAGCAGGTTGGCCTACACAGTCAATACCGACCAACATTTTGTGTTCATATGAGGAATTGAACACAAACTTTCAGTCATTTTTCCTTTCGGTTAAATTGATCGATTGTATTGGTTAAATTAACCTCATCTTTGAAAAAATCAAACCCAAAAAACTGTTGAAAAACTCCAAACCCGTAAAAAAACCAGGTTCAAATTGGAGAAGTTGGTAGACTTCAAGCTGAAGATTATTATGGCCCACGATTCCGAAGAGAAAATCTAGTTTCTGCTGAGCTGTTAAGAGTTGAGCATGTCAAAAATTATGGTTCCCAAAAAACCAAATTCGGCATAGAGGGCAGAGCAGCCATGGTTTTACGACGAGATATGATGACTGAAGTAGCATGCAAAATTGCTAGACATTCGAATTAACTATGTACACACAGCACTAAGACGGATGTATTATAAACATTAAAACAAGCTAATATACTAACACATCAACGACATCAACTACCAACAAACAACATGCAGCAATTGCCTGCGTGGAAAAACAGTTTCGAGTACGTGATTGTCCTTCGACAGAATTCAAGCTTCAAAACGAGCCAGCATAGATTTAAAAAAAAATAGAACTCATTTTCAATGGAAAGTCAATTCCCATTGAAAGGACGAAGTAATTTTCATTGCAGAAAAAGCAGAAATACGAAAGAATTACTTTGAAATCAAGGAGCTTAACTGAGTCTCATGACTAAGACTGCTAATTTCCTGTAAGGTTTTCGAAACTTAAAACGTTTTTTCTTCAAGACGCGAGGCAGATTCGGCAAAATCATCATATCTTTCTTTTCGGTAGGACCAACTACGTCACTGAGCTTAATAATACGGCAACTTTGCGGAGATCTATTCATCAGTTCATTCCCTACACCCCCCCCCCAAGATAAATAAATAAACAAAACCTCAACATACTTCTCAAAATATTACACGTAAAATTATACTGATCTGAGTGCTTAGTGAATGCATAAATATCCGTGAGGTAGTTTTTTCATTTGGATGGTAAAACCCTCCCTTTCAACGCGTTTACTCAATTTCAAGACAGGAGCCGTGAATTGGACAGCGATTGGATAGAGAACAGCTTCGTAGTACGTAAAACGTCAAATGATCGAGCAAATGTTGTAGTCGACTTTTATTTGAAGCCCATTCTTCTTTAGTCCTCTCTTTAGTCCGAGCAAGGCTGCGTGAGACTCATCACCCTCCTTCAGTATACTGAAATTTACGGGTGCCGTTTTTTGTAGTTAGAGGTCGAGCAGTCATATTTCGACAATGAAACCCCCAAACCCCGTATCCCCTTTTGCGATACTTCAAAATCTCTGCTTCTGTTTTATTTTTTTAAAAGAGAGCAAATCAAAATCATTCCTCTCAGTTTTTACAGAATGTCATTCGCGCACGAAGAAGAAAAATCATAGAAGTTTTTAAGAATTGACATTGGGTAGTTTTCCATTATTTTAAAGAATGGAGATGTTGCATGTGTGAGGGATTTGCGATTTGACTGTTGATGCTTATGTAAAAGTTCGCGAGAAACACGATGGTGCCACTGGTTTTCTCTGAAATCAACTCCCAAGCTCAAAAAAGCTCTCAAGTTGAGGCTAAAATGGAGGGGATATCCCACCCTACCCTGAGAGTCCACCTCTACATCAAGACTAACTCTCCATACAAAGATAGGGAGCAAATACATTAGCAGGGTTGCCGTGTTTTCAGTTTTGGAGTCCCCAAATAAAGTGGCAGCCCTGTCAATGTATTTGCTCCCTAGCTTTGCATGGAGAGTTTGTCTTGATGTAGAGGTGGACTCTCAGGGTAGCGTGGGATATCCCCTCTATTTTGGCCTCAACTTGAGAGCTTTTTTTGAGCTTGGGAGTTGATTTCAGAAAAAACCAGTGGCACCATCGTGTTTCTCGCGAACTTTTACACAAGAAGCGACAGTCAAATCGCAAATTCCTCACACATGCAACATCTCCATTGGGAATAACAGGAAGTCTGCGACGTCGCAAACCGTGATCCGTGCTTTTGGGGTTTCATCGTCGATTTTCCCTTAGAGAACCGATTTTTAT